TTTTTTTTTTTTTTTTTTTTTTTTTTTTTTGGTTAATTTTTCCGGATATATCATATGTTTTACATTGCACAAATGGTATTTCAGGTTTGAGTTTAAACTGTGGAATTTTTCTTGGTGCTGGTGTTTTTCCAGGAAATATTGGATTGTTAATTTTTTATATTCTGGAATATTTGGCGCTTTTTGTGGGTAAGAATGACTGTCAGTCATGATCTTCTCTCTCTTGATTTCAGTTATATCTATCCATTGGGGGTATTCCTTAGGTCAATCAGATGTAGGAGTGCCCAAAGCTTATCGTGTGCTTTTCAGGGTTATGGAAACGTACGATGTCGATCCTGATGTCATGAGATGGGGCCTTCATCTTTTAGATGTTTGTACCTTTACAAATGACAGTTCTCGCAATACTGTTACTGAATATAGATTTGACCCGAGTTATAGTCAAGTGGCATATGTCAATGAAGGTTATTGTGAACCGTGTACTGTGAATTTGGAGAATGATGAGGCTATTGCACACGCTTTTCAAGAAGAGATATCTAGAATTGATTCTATAGAGCTTTCTGGGGTATCTGATTCTGGGGAAGACCGTCTGCAAGCATCTGTTCTTGCACAGGATTGGCTTGGCCCTTCGTCTAGGCATGACCCTTTTGGTAGTGATAAGTCATCAGTTATTTGGTAGTTTCTACTTCAAGGTTGTTGTCACGTTTAGTTTTTCCTAATCAATTTTCGACCTTATAAATAGGACTTGAGGGTGATCAGAAAACAACTCTTGGCAACGACATAAAAGTTGGGGAGACAGATGATCTGAGAGGCAACGAGGTGGAGAAAATGGGAAATCTCTCTTCATATCACCACAACACAGTAGATAATCCTTTTGCGGAGGAATGCTCTTCATATTCATTGGAAATAATGGACGAGTCTTCACTTGATGGTGAAGTGGGCAAAAGACTGAATCAAATCGTTCCGGTTCCGGTAAGTATGTGTGTAGCTTTCGTTGGTTGATTGTGTTATCCAATAATATATACTTTTATCTTTCTTTTGATTATGTTTATCTTGAGTTTGGCTATATCATTATCTTAGCTTCTGGTTCTATGTCCAAGTTGTTTTCTTGAAGCTTAGACGTATTTTGTTTTCTGTGTTAATATTGGTGAAAAAACTTAGGGGGTCTATTTTGAATCTCGATTAACAAGAAGTTCAAAAGTGGGTACTTTATTATTCAATCTTGACAAAGAGGCATCAAACTCAAAAAGATACATTCTACCCATATATTTCTTACTCAAACCAATGCCTCCAATTAGATTCTTGAAAGAAAACCGATTCCCTGAAAATAAACCTGACTAATAAAAAATAAAAAATCGTTCTCGTTAATTGCAACAAGGAATTGGATAGTCAGCATATTGTAGAAGCTATTTATGAATAATGTTTTCCAAGAACATCAGCATTCCTAAGGAATAATAAAGAGAGAGATGCCCAGGGCTCTTAGACTTGCAATGACCTCTAGGGTCTACCATTGACAACAGAAGGTACTAGATAGAATGAACAACTAATTTAACTCTTCCATCTTCCTAAATGGAATATAACTTATGGAAGTTTGAACAATAAGAAGCTCCAGTTACATGATCGTTAGTAATTCTATTACTGCTGCTTCCTTCTTATTGCTCTAAAAATAATCAATGATTTTACTACCAAAATAATGAAGACTTAGGTGCCTGATTTTCTAAGCTATTTCTAGAAAGTGTAAATTCTTCCGTAGACTGTATATAATATTCAGTGTTTCTTGAACTCAAAATCCAGTTGTATTTTCTGTTCTGTTGCAGCATGTTCCCAAGACCATTGAGAAGATACCTTCAGCTGATGAAGAGATGTCAGATCATCAACGACTCCTTGAAAGGTCGTGAACATGTTGCATCATCAGTTTTGCATTTAACGTATTTGAACAATGAATCATGTAGTGGATGCTGCTTTTGTCATGTCTAAGATGGGAACCAAATGTTTTACGTCTGAAAATTTACTTCATATTAAGAAAACGAGCTCGTGTTTAAATTATTCAGAGAAAATATTCGAAGAATTAGTGGTAGCTTAGCCAACCTTGCGTCTGGTAACTTCTTACAAAATTTTGATTCATGCACGAAGTTTTTTGCTTTAATTTCTTCTCAGCTGGTATATTTTCCCCTTCTCGTCAGTGCATTGTTAGAAGTTGGCCATTGATTCATGTAGTTTCCCTTTTTGGCCATCCGAAGAAATTTCCTTTCAAAGAGTTCAGAGGAAGACTTTAGAGTTTCAGATTTTGCTTTTGTTTGTGCAGTTTCTCAGCGCATATACTAAATGCTGTAAATATGTGTTGGTTTTAGTGCACGTAGTCTATGTTGTTAACTTGTTTTGCTAGTCTTCTGTTCCTTCATTTTCTGAGATAAAAGCTTAGGTTGAAACATCTAGTTCATGGATTACCGTTATTTATTTGATGCATATGATGTAAGCGTCTGATATTTGAACATTCTGGCCTTTTCTAGATTGCAGTTGTATGAGCTGATCGAGAACAAGATTCAAGGAGATGGCAACTGTCAGGTTGTGATTATTTAACAATTCAATTAGATGCTCTCTGTTGTAGTTTATGTTTTGTTTAATAAGCTCTTGTTGGATTGGCCTGAACTGATGCATCATCACTTCAGTTTCGTGCTCTATCAGATCAACTATATCGGTCTCCTGAGCACCATGATGTTGTGAGAGAACAAATTATAGCACAGGTATGACTTTACTGTCCCCAATGCATGATATTCATGTAGGTTTGACACCAGAGTTACCCCCGTATTAATGAGTTGAAACCATTTTCACTTTATTGATGCCATCAGCTAAAGTTTTATCGAGAAATATATGAGGGTTATGTTCCAATGGCCTATGACGAGTATCTGAAGAAGATGAGCAAGTAATCATATCCTGTTTCTTTTAATTATTGTTATATTTAGGTTTTATCAACTTGGATGCTCATCTCTTATTATTGAAACGAACCAGGAAAGGAGAATGGGGCGATCATGTTACACTACAAGCTGCTGCAGATTGGGTATTGCCATATTTCCTTCTCATTGTGGATTATAATATTTGAGCATGGAATGTGGGTTTAGATACCAGAAGAATTAGAAAAATCTGTCTAATGTCTGAAAGTTAAGAAAATACGATATTTTTTGGTAACTTGTATCGAATACGATGCATGCTCCTTGTGGAGAAGCAACGTGTAATCTCCCTTCACACACGTTTGTTGCATTTTTTTGCAGTTTGGAGTTAAGATATTTGTCATAACTTCATTCAAGGATACATGTTCTATTGAAATACTTCCAAAAGTTCAAAAGTCCAAACGAAGTAAGATTCCTAGACTGATTTCTTTTCAACGCTGAAACTTTTGTATTGTCTCCTCCAAGTTTTTCCCCCTTCATAGGAGGAGGCTTATGAACTTCTTGGCTTGTGCAGTTATTTTCTTGAGTTTTTGGGCTGAGGTGCACTATAATTCAATTTATCCCGAAGGAGGTAATTTTTTTTCGTAACGGTTGAACGTGTAGTGTATGTTGTATGTTTCGTTATGTTAACCCGAACATAGTTTAAATAACAACAAGTAACAATTTTTTTCGAGTTTGGAAACGTGGATCGAGTGATATGTAGTAAAATGATGAGGCTATGTTTAAAGAACTTAAAAGAAGACATTATTTGATTTTCAGAAATCCCAACTTCGTACGCGAAGAAGAAGAAGAAATGGTGGAACTTTTGAGTTTAAAGCTTCTTCCTTACACACCGAGTGGTTAGGGTTATTGTAGAAAAATGGTTGATAGTTTCTGGGTTTTCTTCCTCTTCAAAAGCTGAGATGATTGCTGATGGATGCCTCACTATTTCATTTCTTCTGTAAATATTTGCACATTAATTATTTATTATTACTATTATTATTATTATTATCATCATGTAGAGCCATATTCTTTATCCTAATCCATCATATTTTTGTTTGCTTTTTGCCTCACTCTCCGGCTCTAGGGAGAGTCCTGCCCTGTAAATTTGCTGAGAATTCAAGGTTATATTTTAAACCACCTTACTTTTGTACATTGTATTATGACCTACTCGAATAAAAACTTCCATTGTATTATGATCTCTTCTGTTTCATCGATTTTGTCCGGATCCTCCTTTTCTTCCGAAAAAATGGGAATGAGAAGCATCTTTTGTGGATCCCTTTTGTTCCTATATAGTCTCCTTCGTTTCTTTCAGTTTCTTACTTTTCTTAGTAAGAATGGGTGATGAGTAAGAAGAAAACCAAACTTAGACGATTATTCCATTTGAATAGATGTTGTATTGTATAGATTGGTTTGTTCCACGTATTTTCTTTCCAAAAAAAACTCTTGTAATGTTGCGCTTAGTTTAAAAAAATACTCATATTCGTTCATCCGTGGTAGAATTATCATGATGAATGGTAGAATTATCATCGTGATGCCTTCTTGTCCAACCACTGTGATTTCAACCGATATTTTCCTGATTTAAGTTTCAAATTGAAAGAAGTGAAATAAGTTTTTTTTTTTTTAAAAAAAAAGAATATATATATATATATTCCAAGGGTAAAACTGTAATTTGGATCCCAAGTCAAAAGATACGATTTTTAAAAGGAAGCTTGTTTTTCAAAACCACAACTTGGGGGGTCGTAGCCGAGACCTCTTAGCGATTTCCAGCAGCTTTGCTCGGGCGGAGACCTCATAGCGATGTTCCTCAACAAACTACCCGCCTCCAAAATCCTTCAAAAAAGCCGCCAAAAACCCCTCTGTTTCCCCCTCGCGAATCTTCCTTATACCTTCACACAGAAGTCCGGCTATGTCGATGTCTACATGAAATGGAAGAAAGACTCATATTACGATTCCATCGAGCATATCCTCAACTCCATCCATCTCAAATCCATCATTTCTTTCAAAAACTGCATCGCCCAAGACCCAAATGGGTGCATCCCAATCTCTGCCGTTTCTAAGCGAGGGCTCGAAATGGGTGTGTCGATCAGGGTTTCGAGGTTTTTAAGGTTGTACCCATCAATCTTTGAAGAGTTTACAGGTCCTCAGTACAATCATCCTTGGTTCAGATTGACCCCAAAAGCTGCTGAGATTGATGAAGAAGAGAAGAGGGTTTATCAGAATTGCAGGGAGGATTTGATATGCAGGTTGAAGAAGTTCATACTGATGAGTAAGAATAACGTTCTGCCATTGAAGATAATCCAAGGTATGCAATGGTATTTAGGGATTCCTGATGAATTTTTGCATAATCCAAAAGTTAATCTTGATGGGTCTTTTAAGTTAGTTACAATGGAAGATAAATTAGAAGGATTAGCTGTGGAATGTGATGAAAAGTTCATGTCTGTGATGCAGAAAAACGCCATTAAAAAAGGTGTTTATTCTTGTGGAACAATGGAAGCACTTGAATTCCCACTCTTCCCCTCAAAGGGCTTAAGGTTGAGGAGGAAGATTGAGGACTGGTTAATGGAGTTTCAGAAGCTTCCTTATGTATCTCCCTATGAAGATTTTTCCCATTTGGATCCAAATAGTGATATATCAGAGAAAAGATTGGTGGGTTTTCTTCATGAATTGCTTAGTTTATTTGTGGAACATTCAGCAGAGAGGAGGAAGCTTCTGTGCCTTAAAAAGCATATGGGTTTGCCTCAGAAGGTTCATAAGGCATTTGAGAGACATCCTCACATGTTTTACTTGTCTTTAAGAAACAAGACTTGTACTGCTATTCTTAAACAGGCTTATTGTGATAAAACTTCTATTGAGAGGCACCCTATATTGAGAATTAGGCGAAAGTATATCAATCTGATGAAGGAATCTGAAGTGATTTTGAAGAACAGGAGGTTTGGTAATGGTCTTGCTCATCGAGAAGGTTTGGTGGACTTGGATTTGGATGCTGCTGATGGAGATGAAAGGGAAATTCCTGAGTGTTAATGCTCCACTCTCTTGTGTAATGCCATTACTGTTAGCCTGGTATGCCATACTCTCTCTATTTGACATAACTTAGATTCTAGTAGTCTATCTTTGATTTTATATGAAAACTATGACATTTTATGACTAAATCTTCTCTTTGGTAGACTGCTCTAGTTGTCTGGTTTTTAGAGGTGTATAAATAGGAGCAAATCTTTAGCATTATCCTTATTGTCAATAGCGGATTTGAACCGGTGACACGAGAATTTTCAGTCCTCTGCTCTACCAACTGAGTGATACCGGCCATTTCCTACACATTAGACGTATTTTCAATAGCAAACCGATGACACGAAGATTTTGAGTCCTCTGCAATACCAATTGAGCGATATCGGTCATTTCCTACACATTATCCTTATTGTCAATAGTAGATTTGAACCGAACCGGTGACACGAAGATTTTGAGTCCTCTGCTCTACCAACTGAGCGATACCGACCATCTCCGACATAGTAGACGTATTTTCAATAGCAGATTTGAACTGGTGACACGAAGATTTTGAGTTCTCTGCTCTACCAACTGAGTGATACCGGCCATTTCATTCCATTTCCTACATATTATCCTTATTTATTTTCACAGCAGATTTGAACCGAGACCCAAATTGGGGAGAAGAACGAAGTATTTTTTATAAGGTTGTGGAAACCTTTCTCCAGCATACACGTTTTAAAAACTCTAAGGGGAAGCCTGAAAGGGAAAACTCAAAGAGGATAATGTCGGCTAGCGGTGAGCTTGGGTTGTTACAAATGGTATCAGAACTAAGCGATGTGTTAGCGAGGAGGCTAAACCCCCGGGAAAGCCCAAAGAGGACAATATCTGCTAGCAGTGGGCTTGGGCTGTTACAAATAATATCAGAGCCAGACATTGGGTGATGTGCCGATGTGCCGTCGAGGAGGCTGAACCCTGAAGGAGGGTGGACACCAGTGCTAGCGAGGAGGCTAAACTCTGAAGGAGGGTGGACACAAGCGATGTGCCAGTGAGGACGCTAGGCCCCAAAGAAGGGTGGACACCAGGCGGTGTGCCAGCGAGAATGTTGGGCCAAAAAGAAGGATGGACACCAAACGGTGTGCCAGCAAGGATGCTAGGCCTCGAAGAGAAAGAATGCAGGGTTTCAAAGGAGGGTGGATTGAAGGTCCCACATTGATTGGAGAGGAGAATGAGTGCCAGAGGGGTGGGTTGTGAGATCCCATATCAATTGGGGAGGAGAACGAAACTTTCTTTATAAAGGTGTGGAAACCTCTCCCTAGCAGTTTTAAAAACCTAAAAAGGAAGTCCGAAAAGGAAAGCCCAAAAAGGACAGTATCTACCAGCAATAGCAATGGAGTTAGGCGGTCAAAAGATTTTAAGATTTTAGCATCTTTCCTATGTCTTTCCTTTTAGAGTTCTTTTCTTTTTCCCTGTTATGTTTGGCTTTCTTTCTTACCCTTTCTTATTATTTCATATAAAGGGAGAGAAACACATTCATTTGCTCATTCATCTCATCTTAAAACGTTTAACATCAAAACTCTGTTTGTATTCCTTAGTTATGATATCTGTTTAGTGTTCTTAGCCCCATCAGATAACTTTCTGCTCCAGCAATGAGATATATACAGATAAATAGATAGATAGATAGATGTTATATAATATATTAGCTTCTTTACTAAAGTCATTTACATTTGGGGGTTTAGCTCTACATAATACATTATATATTAAAACTTACTTCTCTCTATCTGCAAATTTCGAGAAAGTGAGGGTCGCAAAATATACACTCTTTCTCCAATATTCTTCTTATTTTCATTTACAACGACACTTCTTTCTTCCCCACCCCTCCTCTTCCATTGCCTCTGCCTTTAAATACTTTTTGTTTATTTACAAATTACTGTTATTCTGTCAGCTGAAAAATGAACTGGAATTCTTTCGGATCAAGGCAGCTGGAGACTGACCTGACCTTGCTGCAATCCGAAAACTGCTCTATCGGGAGGATGAGAAGGAAGACGCCGACGCCGACTGTCCAATTCTCCTTTCTGCAAACGACAGGCAAGTTTATCACGATCGGTGGCGATCACACTAGAAAAGATATCCAGAATTATGAGTGTAAGAGAAGTACTACGTCTCTCACCTCCTGTTGTGATGAGCTTTTCAACTCGAGATACAATATGTTTACCGTAAGTATACCTCTTGAGGGAGTTCAAGTGAACCCTGATACGAGAGAGAATTAATTCAAGACTATGGTCATCACATGACTCTAGAACCTTTTGGACAACGTAGTTCCCGAACGGATCCTTCATCATTGCCTGTAACATATCATTTTATCAGACCAATTATTTGTAAATTGATACAAGCATTGTATGCATAGAAGTTACTGCTGATCATCCTAATATCACCAAGAACTTACGTTTCTATCAAATTACTATATATGATCTCTCAACTGTAATACGAAATACACCCAATTGTTGTAAAAGTGGAATATTTCTTCCCATTTATTGAACATGTTAAGATACAGGTATTAAGGCAGCGTGTATGTTGATGTTAAGAGTGTGTTCGCAAAAGCTCGACTTTAAAGTGAAAAACACAGCATGTTATGCTTCTCTTGCATGATCAAAGGCAGGTACACACGAGAATTTAAAGATGAGTAAGAATTCAACAGACCTGCAAGGGCTCATTCTCATCAGTAGAACCAAGAATCTCGTTAATTAGTAGTTGACGTTCCTCGGGACTGCCAAATGTTAAACACTTCTCCACAACATTAGAAGCAAACTTCTGTTGACTCATCTTTACAATCTGTCCTGCAAGCTTACTTATAATAGCAGACCGCTCGTGCGGTTTACCGAATTGAAGTACATGCTACAAAAGAAGGCCACAGAATTGGTACAGAGATATAATAAAAAGCAACAATGATCATTGACAATATAGTCTTCTTTAGATATGATGAACAGAACAATCAGTTTCCCTTCAACCCTATTCTAAAAAACATAGATCAACTAATTTCTTGACAAACGAGCAATATATCGAAGCGTACATTTGTACATATATACACAAATTGACTATTCACATAATTTCTGTTTACCTGAATAACATAATTTCCATACTGATCTTGTGACAGGAGGCAAACGGATTGCATGATTTCATCCATGATAATTTGTTGTGTACTCAAATCATTGCAGTGTTCTAATACCCTCTACAAACATCAAGAATGGAGATCAATCAATATTGTATATTTTCTACATATAAAAATGTACAGGAGAAACAAACCAGTTACCTGAATAACACGGCAGCCATATGGATGAGTGGATAGTGCCAGAACTTGGCCATAAAATGATGATATGATAAACTGGATTCTATCTTGAGGGACGCACTCGATACATTTCTGAATAACATGATTTCCGTTCTGATCACGAACACATTTCATTACCAAACCATCAAGCTCGGCAACCATTTGAGCCTGTTGATCCGAACCAACTACCTCCAAAGCCTGCATAAGTATTTTTTTTTTTTCTCTCTTTATAAAGCATCACTGTCTCATTTGGTTCATAATGGATAAAGTAGAAGAGGAAAGTACAAGGTAATTTATCATCAGATGTTCTTATTGACAAGTGCATCTAATGTTCCCAATAGAACAACGGAGGTGTTCATAAACCAAGGACAAAATCCACCCAACAATAATGCTCATTGCTGATTGAATAAACATTCATAAGCAGGAGAGAGTCAAGAAAGAACCTTCTGAATCACTCTGCATCCATACATTTGAAGACTAAGAGGCAAAACATGTCCTGAAACTTGGTCAGCTAACTCCTTCCTTTGACTTTCAGTACCATGTTCGAAAAACTGCACCAATAAATAATCAATCAACTCGAGATTTTAATATACCAAGCCATTGAAGATACATCTAAATTCAAAAGCATTTACTTTCTGAATGACATAATTTCCGAAGACATCGGTCATCAAGGTACGAGCATGTGGAATTATCTCGGGAAATATCTTCGTCTTCTCCACCACATTGGCAGTTTCTAGCTTTTGTTGGATAAAACGACTTCCATATTGATCCATACTACACAAAATAGGCATACCAAGAATTAGGAAAAATTATAAAAATAGTATAATTAAATAATACCCTAAGAATAATACATGTAAAAGAACACCAATAGATCATGCGCACCTGAATTCAATGACATGATCAACAATGTCTGAAAGCTCAAAAGATCTAGTCTTGTTGCTTTTGAACTCATCCAATAAAGTGGATGGAAAACTTTCATCTACACTACTGCCGATATCCGGCTGCCAAGACCCCTGGGCTCCTATTGAATTTCTCATCAGTGAATTACAGCGCAAGATTCGTTCATTCTGCAGCATTGTACCTCCGTGTCCAAGAGACGAAAGACCAGAATCCAATACTTGGTCCGCCAAATATGGGATGCCAGAACCATATAGAGTATTTGCATACAATCTGTGATTATAAACACTTGAATTACCTGAAAGTGACAACTCGTAGTGCTGCTTTTGTTGGGAAAGCAAGGTTTCAAGATAGGCACTTCGAAGGCCTTGCAAGTCTCCTTGAGTAATCCCATAGTAATTATGGGACTGCAAACTAGAACCAGCATGGACTGCACGATCAGAAGTTCCCGATGGCAGCTTAATATGATCAGATGTTCCATAACTATTTAGAGCAGAATTATGATTCATGTTTATAGCAAGGTCACCAGACGTATATCCAGCCAAATCCATACTCTGAAGGTTTGGATTTTGAAGGTGTATGGTAGGCCCTTCCTTACTTCCAAATCCTGACGAATTTGCTTTGGTGTATAGACTGGTAGAAGAAGAAGTTCTTTTGGGAAAGTTTACATTATCATGAGAATGCATCGTAGGCGCTCTCAGGTTCATTACAATCCCACTTTTCCTTGCTAGGTCAATATTATCACTAGGTTGTGAGAGATTTTTGTCACTAAACTCAGGCAGAGTACGTGTGTGAATACCATTGGAAATGTTGATCAGAAAATCAGACTGTTCACCATGATCCAGATGAAGTCGAGATTGGACCCCATTAACTCCATCTTCAGGTCTAATTGACGACAGGTGTAGACCAGATATGTCAGGCGGTTCGGTAAACCCAGCAGAATGACCATTTTGGACCTTGAATACAGTTATATTCTTCTTTTCTACAGGGAAAACTCTACTGCCAACAGGAGGTAGACCAGAACTTGAAGACCTTCCAACTAGCTGTGGTTCAGGAGTCGTGCTCCTCGAAAGAGCTGAACAATTAGGATTCAGAAAGGAATGAGAAATTGCCTTGTTATGACTCTGAACTCCAACAAAGCCAGGGGGACCTGAGTTAAGCAAATCCTCAATAGAACCCCCCACCCCATTACATAATCCTAGTGGCTTTATATCAGTCATTCCCATAGTGTCAACATCCCCAAAAGAATTATGACTCGCAGGGCGTGACAACTGGCCAGACAAGGAAGCAGATTCACCAAGTCCCTCCTGCAGGATATTATCTATTAATGTTTAATGCATTAAATTAAAGAAATCTCTGCCTACCCAACAAGGAGAAATCTGCTTTATTATGACACCAAGATCTGTAAGATGGTTCTGAAGACATGCATTCACCTATAAAACTAATTCTAACCGAAGCTGAAAAAAAGGAAAACTAAAAGAAACACGAGCTATGAACATGGTAATATAGACTAGTATCATCAAAACAAATAGAACGCCAGAACTAAACAAAAATGAGAAGACAAGTCCAATTTAGAGAGATCACTAGCCAAACCAAGGTAAATTCAAGTAATGAACCAAAGTAATATAACAAAAAAAAAATCGTCGCAGCTTAGGAGAAATAAGTTAAAGAATGAACTCCATGTCATATCCCTAAAGAAGAAAAGAAATCTGCTATATGACACGCGACAATATTGTATATATCTAAGATAACCACAAGCAGGTTCACTAAAAAATTTGCAGAAAATACAACATGATAGGGGCCAAGCTAGATACAGTGTAAAATAGTTAGATCAGTTACCTGGACAATATCAGCAAAACTCTTTCGTCTTGCACCAAGTCCATCGCCACATGATCCAACTAAACCGTCCCTACCTCTGTCGTGCCACTCCGATAGAGCATTCCTGGAGACATTATTTCCATTAGCACCCCCAAACTCCATTACATTACTACTATTCTTTTCTGCCCGCTGCACAGAACTGCCAGGCTGCATAGAGAACAATGATGACCTTGTATTACCATCTACTAACTTCTTCCAGTTCCAATCCTCCTGTCGCCCCAACGAAGACCCACTTCCCTGAAACCGCTGCGCAACACGCCAGTCCTCCTTTGATACTAAAGGTGGAGGGAGTCTTGGATTGATATAATCATTTGAGTAATAGTAAGAAAGATAATCCGGGTGTGAACGAATCTCATCCTCAGATAAAACCCTATCATTAGTACTACTCTTAGCATTCAACTCACTATAATAAGAGCTTGTAAACAGACTTCCCACAGCATTTAATGATCCCTCAACTGTTGGGGGAGCACTACCACTCCTGTAAATATTCAGATCTCCATCTTCCCCTGTTACTGATTGATTGGAATTTTCTCTCAGAAGTAGTTCAAGCTCAGTCCGCAAATTATCTTCAAAATTTCCAAGGGGCACCTGGTGACCATCATTCATTATGGGCAGCATGTCCGTGTTACTCCCAGAAGCCATCTTCAGGGATTGTAAGCTCTAAAATCCCGACATTCCCCACACACCAAAAGAAAACACAGCATAAATCAAAACAAGCAAATTTTAAATTCATAAATCAGAGACCCACTCCACTGTTTGAATACTCGAGAAGTATTAAAGAAGCAAATTAATCCACACAGACTATCAAAAGAATACAGACAGACGTAGTCGCATATAATATACAAGCATCAGGCCCACAGATTCGAACTCTGACGGAAACAAAGTAACAGGAATTCTCAAAATTCCATCAACGGGTCCCAAAGTTGTGAAAGGCAAAAAACAACGCAGAATCTCTCCCCGAAGAGAAAAAAAGCATTAAACTAAGAGGGAATCCTACATCGTAACTACCAAAAATCGGCATGTAAGAAGAAGAGAGAAATTTGCAGACCTGTAAGAAGATCCTCCACAATGATACACCAATACGATCAAGACTCAAGGAATCGACCGCTCGTGAAGCTAAAATCCATAGCCAAAGGGGCAAACACAAGAAAGGAGAAAATCAGGGGAAGGAAATGCATATTAGTGAATCGAATAGATGATTAAAGAAAGAGAGAAGGAAATGAATGAGATTTCACCGTGTCATTGAGGAATCTGGAAGCAAAAGTAGGCATGAGAAATGAAAATCGGGAATAATTCAGCGTGAAATTCCGTTTGAAATCGAAAAATTAGGAAGCAATTAGAACAATTCGCGTGGGCCTATGAATATCAATATGATCCTTCGGAACGGCTGTTATTGTTTCTTTTCATTTCAACAAAATTTTGAGGAAGAAAAAATGCAGAGAGAACCACCGCCATCTGATCATGAATCGACGGTGATGTACAAACGTACGTGCATTGCATGAGACTATGTTTGTACAGTTTTTTACAAACCTATTTTCGACAGTTTTGTAGTGAAAAATTAATTGTTTAAATATATATATTAAATGGTTCTCCACTTCTCACTATTTCTTTTATTTATTTATTTTTTTATTATTTTACTCTTACATCAAAAAATATATATATTCCTAGGGGTTCTTGTTTGACCCTTTTTCAAGGGGTCGACCAGCTTTGTTATACGGACAAGGTTCCCGAACCAGAGCATGTTATTGACTCAACCACAAATCTATTGAATGAAGGTATTCTTAGCCGCGGCTAGTTTGAAGGAAATCAGTTGACTTCATTTATGCCTTATGCAGTAAATAAAAGGCGGCTAAGCTTCCATTCGAAGTAAGGTAAGAGAATTCGATCCTGCACCATCTTCAACTCTTCTCAAGATCCAGTGTTTTACGAGAAAAGGTTTGATCCATTAATATCATGATTGGGTCGACTAGGGAAGATCTAGAGTGAATTTCTATAAAAAAAAAAACGTATACAACTGAAATACTTGGAATAATTCTACCATTACGACATAGACTTTTAAGTAGTGTTAGACGAACACGACTCTCCACAATGGTATGATATTGTCCACTTTGAGCATAAGCTCTCATGGCTTTGCTTTGGGCTTCCCAAAAGGCCTCACACCAATGGAGAGTGTATTCTTAGATTATAAACCCATGACCATTCCCTAAATTAACCGATGTGGGACTTTCATCATCCAACAAGTAGTAGCAGGAATATATAATATTAGTTAAAATTACTAATCGATCCATTCCAATTTAATCCTTAAATTAATAATAATATTTTTACTTTTTATATACAAATTGTTAGTGCATTCTTATTTTTTTTAAGACTATTTTTTAAAAAACAAACTACTAAGGGTATATTTTTGTAAGTTCTTAGAATATTTTTAATACAAAATATTAATATATTTTAATCCAAAAATTATGATAATAATTATTTCTTTTTTATTTTAAAAGTATTGATAAATATTTCATATATGTTTCTTTTATTTACAACAATTTAATTAAAATGATATTTTTTTCACATAAATTGAGCTATATTCATATTGATCCATGTTTGATGACGTAAATTGAGCTATATTTATATTGGTCCATGTTTTAGGTAAATTGAGCTATACTCACATTGGTCCGCTTTTAAATATTTTTATAAGATTAAATTTTAGAGATTATTTTGTATATTTAATCTAATATTTGTTGAGAAAAATCATTTTCCTTGGTTTCAACTCTATATATAGATGTAGAATTAAATGGCCAAACCATGTGTGGCTTAAACCTAATACCTAAACATTTAATGACATTTAATTCCCGTTGAATTTTAATAATATATAATGTCATATTAAATTAAGTTTTCCAATAAAATATAAATTTTATAAATCTAATTAAAGTATAAGAAGCAAAATAAATATGATACTTATTAAAATAAAAACTATATATAAAAACAAATTTATTCTTTAAATTAAACAAAAATATATTTAAAATAGTTTAGAGGTGAAACAAAATTATTTTTCCAAATAAAAAAGTATAGATTATGTAGGGCTTAGGCCCAAATAAAAAAGTTTCTTAGAATTGGGCGGCCCAATCTTCAAAAAGCCCATGGACCATGCCTTGGCCCATTGGATGGTTTAAAGAACCTGACTTCAATAAAAGTAGTGACCTTATCCACAGAATGTATTACGCTACCAAGCATGAAACATTTAATAATAAGAAAGCTTTAATCTCGAGACTTTTTATAACGAGTACATCAGTTTATGGACAATTATTGGAGAATATCGATCGAACCCGGACATTATTCAATCATATTTCTCTTCCGAACCCCTAAAAGCAAAGCAACTATGCAGGGGCAGGGAGGCGGGACAAGAAACGGCTCCGAAGAAAGATATTTTGGTTCCCGATGTTTCCCCACGACTATTGTTCGAGAAAGATATTATGACCTAAGTGGTGCTTGCGTTAAGTATAATAATAAATACTCGTAATGAGTCCTCACACTTCGTTATCCAAATATCTCCGACCATCTCAAGAGGACAAAAAATTATTCAATGTGACTACCACACTGATACCTGAACGGTTGTATAATCATAACTCTTTTGTTCTATCTCATATATCTAATCCCGTGGCAATTAGCCTCCCTCCTCGAATAAGTTCTCCCAACAATTCCCCGGAAACCAACTCGAAAGATCAGAAGAAGATCAGAAGAAGAGAGTAACATAATATAGCTCAAAAGTTATTGGCAGTTTCTTGGCAATATGATCTTGGAAAGGTGAGGTGAGAAAACATTGTTCCCATTTATTAAGTGGGAGGTTTGGTTTGGTGGGTCAAGAAGAAAGTTGGATGCGGTGCCCATCAACTTTGAAGTGCTATTACTTTTTCAACCACTTGGGTTTATGCTGATTGTGATGCCTTCCCAACTCCCCCACACAACGAACCATAACGGTTAGATCCTACATCAATTGGAGAGAAAAACGAAGCATTCTTTATAAAGGTGTGGAAACCTCCCCTGATAAATGCGTTTTAAAAACCTTAAGAGAAAGCCCGAGAAGAAAAACCCAAAGAGAACAATAATATCTACTAGTAGTGGGCTTGGCCCGTTACAATAACATCCGTTCCAATAAAATTACAAGACTCTTTTTTTATAAAGGTGTGGAAACCTCTCCCTAATAAATGCGGACAATATATGCTAACGGTGGGCTTGGGTCGTTACAATAACACCCCCTTCCAATAAAACTATAAGGCTTTTCCTTTATAAGGGCGTGGATACCTCTCCCTAGTAAATGTGTTTCGAAAAATCTTAAGGGAAAGCCCGAAAGGGAAAACCCAAAATGGATAATATCCGCTAACGGTGGGCTTGGTCCGTTACAATAACACCCCTTCCAATAAAACTAGTTCCCCTCAAACCCTAAAAGAAGTTCTTCGAAAAGAAGAATCAGAAAAGAAAAGCTCTAAAAAAATGTAAAGAAAAGAACCTCTAGGACCACCATTTGTAACCTTTTTCAGTATTCATGGGTCCCTCTAATTCATTCCTAAAGAGCTTTTCAACGCACTATGTAGAATTCTCCATCAATTTTTCAACCATAATAAAAGGTAAAAGTGCAGAGAGATCCAGAAGCCTCAAGAAAGACATGCTAGAACAACTAAATTAATCTACCAACACAGAACAGGAGAATCTGCATATCAGATATAATGTAAATGAATGGTGTAAAAACGCTGGTAAAGCCTTTCATATAAGACATCCTCATAATGTGACAACGAATACATATATCGATAAGAATTGGACATACATGTTAGATCATCCACCTTATGACAACAAAGAAATGATATCTGTAATGAAAAAAACTTGGCAAGAGGGCAAGCCAGGCCTTCTTCTTTATGTTGATGAATATAAGCAGAAAGGAATTTCTGTGAGATGCTGTCAAATCAATTCTAATACCACAAAGTGGGTAAGACGATGCGGGTAAGAATGAATCGTAAGTTACTCGCCTGTAAGCTCACGCTCAATCATTTTCTGAACGTCATTGACAACTAAATATGCTTTGTAGAGACCAATCACCTCGTCTTGTTTCTTACTATCCTTCCATAGCTGCAAACAAACATAATCAAGATCTTGACATTAGTAGAGAGGAGGGATTCCAGTTGTAAGATATCTGATCGGGAAGAAACTCACCTGTATGGCTGGCATCTTCTGGTAGATTAAAAAACGAACAGTAGAGATACATGAAGAAAAGTGAAAATTTGAAACTATTAGAACTTGTAGACCCATGAATGGAAAGATTGAATGTTAATAAACATCAAAACAGATGCAAATTCATCAAAGTAACAAAGGCTCAACATGTCCTATGTCTCCTATGATTGAACCGTAAATTGTATATGTTCGAGAAGGCAACGAAACACGAGTCTAACTTCAATTGTAAACAGAACCTCAAGAACAATATCCATTGGATTTATCAGAACTCAACTCCCTTATAAAGATTTATGGCAACACAAACAAAATGGAAGAAACATCGAAAAGCTTTGGAAAGAACTTACAGCTAATCCTGCACGAACAACTAGCTTGTGAGGCACCATATTGACATCAATGCAGTAGAATTGCAATCTACAATTGATCAAGCACATGCACAATTTCAGTAAGTACTTAGCACACTGGTCTTCTAAGCATTATCCAGCGCTTGGAAAATGATGATACAATTCATATTTTACATTCAGTTGATGAAAAATGAGCTAAGAGCTAACCTGGGGTAATAATCAGCAGCCAATCTTTCCAATTGGGGCTTTAGATAAATATAATTTCTGCACCAGTTTGCCATCCTACAGATCCACACGAACTCATTTTTCAACAAAAGAATATAAAATACTGCTTGAAATGCTGGTAATGAAAACTGGACAAAAAATATCAAATCGTTCAATTCAAAATGATCACAATCAATGAAATTGCAAGGGAAAATCAAGCAATTGAGGACAATTTTTCCTGATAAACAGATAAATTTCTGATCAAACACTATCCAGTCAAGGTCAAATGCATTCACATCGTTTACATTTCTTTCTCTGCTCTGGAAGAAACCTTCGTAATTAAGTGAACATTTCCCAGAAAAGCCGACAAGAAATGCATACATACCATACAATAATCACGGGCTCGTTTCGTTTCTCTGCATCCGTAATAGCCTTATCGAACTCAAGTTCACTACAAATGGACTTGAGCTCGATCGACACAGGAGATTCATCACAAAACTGCAGGGAACTCTCTTGGGTCCAATCTCCAAGCACCGAAATCTTCTCACCAGTCGCAGAAACTTTCAAGGAAAGCGGCGGAAATTTTTGGGACAGAGGAAGCCTGTTGAAACCAGAGACAGTGAGCTTGGCCGCCGGAAGA